AGAGAGAGAGAGATCTCTCTCTCTCTCTCTCTCTCTCGCAATGTTTCAATAGTGAAAATCTCTTTAGAGAGCCTAACAGATGGAAAGTCATATCTCTAGCAGCTCTCCAGCTCTGTATGAATAGATTTAGGCTAATATTCATTATGAATACAGTATTGATGTGTGTATTGAAGGCCTGCATCCCATTCCTCTCTCATCCATATATTTATGAGGTCTTTCCCCAAACAGGACTCTCACTCTCTGTATATATTTGTCACTCTTTCTCGTGTTTATGGTTTGAATATCATATGTAATACAATAATAAATGTTATGAATGATCGCCATATGAAGTATAATCAAGGCTTGTATTAGAGTCGGAGGGGAGTGCAGGGGTTGGGGTAGTGAGCCCTCCCTTCTCCACCACAATCGTCTCATTTAATATAAATAATATTTATATTTTTAACAATTATCTTGTAATAAAAGTATTTTTAGTTTTCATTTAAATGAATGAAAACTTTCTAAATGTATAATTCAATGATTTTCATTAACAAATAGTTTTCTCATTCACTAACATATAATTCCTCTACTTTTAGGCGATTATCAATTGAATGGACACCTGAAGACTGAATACAGTTGGAAGTGATGACAACAAAATTGTGGTCAAAAGCAATACATTGTATATTAATATCAAAAATCTCGTCAATAATAATAATTATTAAAGAAATATAAATATAAAAATTTTATATGAAGACTGAATACAGTTGGAAGTGATGACAACAAAATTGTGGTCAAAAGCAATACATTGTATATTAATATCAAAAATCTCGTCAATAATAATAATTATTAAAGAAATATAAATATAAAAATTTTATAAAAACTAAATTAATGTATAGAAAGACATGTTTTCCATATTATAAATGTTTCGCAAAATATTTAATTTATTGTTTAATTTGAAATAACATACAAATTAATTGTAAAATAAACTACAAATTTAATGTACATTTAATTTAAATATCCATTAATTGCTTGAAATATATGGTACGGAAAGGAAAGTCAGAATTGAGTGTAAATTAATCATTAATTATAATTGTATTCATTATTAAAATAATAAATACTAATTAAAACACAAATTATAAATACAATAAACAATTAAAATGATACCAAAAAATTAAATTATAAATCAATTTATTAATGAAAAAAACAAAGAGTAATAAATCAAAGGCTAAATTAAATTAAAAATCAATCAATTCATAAAAAAGTGATATAAAGACACAGAAAATAAGGACAAAATGAGTGAACAGTCGTCGGCCGCCAAACATCACCATCAGATGGTCATCAATGGTAACCAAACTTCAGCAAAACGGGTGACCAGTGGTGGGCAATGCTATCAATGATGGGCGGCGGCGGTCATCCAGAGGGCTAGTCCTCGTGTTTGTCAGGAGGCGGACCACACGGTTGTATCATTTTCTCCATCAGATTGAATTTGATCCGCTGTTTGGTCTCATTCTCGGCGATGGCGAAGAAGTTGCAGAGATCGTAGTGACCGAGGTATGAGGCGATGGTGTCCCTGTGCTGATTGACCAGCCATTCATACTTGGATGTGTCCGCGTGACCGGTGCCGATGTACTTGGACTGCAAGTGCTCCAACTGAGAGTGGATGTTATACCGCTCGGCCATCACTGATGATGGTCTAGATTATCACTGATGAAATGTCTTGTGGTAATTACTTGTCTCAACACTTGGATCCGCTCTTTGACTCTTGAGATTAAAATTTGTTTTTTGTGTTGAAAATACAGCAATGGTTTTAATGCTGTGTTAATGAGTCGCGCGTTCAAAACCCCCGTAACTGATCGCTGTGTGAGCCGTGCAGTTAACACGTTATTGAGATCTCCCCCACTCGCGCCTGTGTATTGATTTTACACGTAAGTGTAGTGAGCGATAAATCAGTACCTTTTGTTATAACACAATTCGCGTATTAAACAGCGCATAGACTATAGCGATAAACAGTACGTAAAGTTCGGTATACTTTGCATACAAACGCCAATGTATTGCATAAGTGTTGAGTTTGCTATCCATTGATTGCAATGTATTTTTTGTGATAAATATTTATTTATTTATTTTGTTATTTAATATTTAATTAAAAGCTTTTTATAAAATTAAATTTAATTAAATTAAAAGCCAAACGTTTATTTGTAAATACATGTCACATATAAAGGCGTGTATTAGTAAATGACACACAAAAATGAGACACAAAATAACCATCAAAAAAGTTTGTATACATTTTCAGTTTGTATTGAGTTTTTGTATAATTAATTTTACTGTTAATTGTTATTACAATTAATTATTTTTTCATTTGCATTATATTTACAGTGAATTTTGTCGCCAATTATGACAACGACTGTTAATATCCGGTGTTTTTTAACGCATATAATATAGCGATTGCTGTCTATATTTAAATGTGTTATATATTGTGCGGCAATCAAACAGACAATTAGTTTTACACTATTTTTGTAAATGAATTGTTATTGAAATTAATTGTGAAATTAATGTTTAATTAATTTTTTTACTAAACGTTTGATTTAATCGCTGAACACAAAGCGAAACACAATTTGTATTGTATATCAAAGTGTTTGTCATATATTTTATATCTCGTTGTTTATCATTGTTTTTATTGTCTTTGTATGGATTGGAGACCATTGATGAAAATGTTGACAAAGTTAACCATTACTGTAGTCCTAATTGTTTATATCATATCCACGTTTTTCGTACTCTTTCTCAACCATTTGAACACTGATAACGACTTCCGGCCATTGGATGACAACTCACTGGACGCCACACTCACCGCTCGTCAGCGATACCCGTCGGCACTCCGGCAGCCAGTCATTGACCCCAAAGACGATCGCATTACCATCGATGGCCAGATGAGACACACGTTTTGGTTTTTACAGGTTATTTACAGCCAATCACTCAATAATTTGTTGATAATTTTGATATTTTTGGGACCAGATCTCCGACCTTCACCTCAGCATTCATTTTGATCCAAAACGAGCGCCAGATTTGGAGAAGTTTTGCGAGGAATACATTGATATCATTAAACCGTCGGTAGTGTTGGCCACCGGAGACCTGACAGACGCCCGAACCAAGAGTCCAATGGGTTCGCGAGTCCACGAAGAAGAATGGGTTATGTATTGGAATGCATTGAATAAGACTAAAGTCGGCTCCAGAACTGTATGGCTCGACATCAAAGGCAATCACGGTTTGTGTGATTGAATGCGACAATCAATTGGTTTTTTATTGACAATTGTCTCACTATTTATCGGCAGATAATTTCAATGTCTACGACTGGAGTCATCGGAACAACTTCTTTAAGAAGTACTCGATTAGAGGCCCGAATAACACGCGCTCTTATAAACACAGTGTCAGACACGACACGGAAACCTATAGTTTCATTGGTGTCGACGCCTGTTTGGATCCGTCGCCCAAAAGACCCTTCAATTTCATTGGTCTGCTTCGGGACAAAGACATTGAGCGCATCAAACAGATGAAAGCGGACGCACAGCTCGAGCGCAGCAATTATACCATTTGGTTCGGACACTACCCGACCTCATCCATAGCGATGCCCAGTCCCGGCCTCAGAGAGCTTATTAAGTGAGAGA